CTTACAGAATAACCTCCTCATATTTTTCTTGCAGAGAAACCATGTGATGGAGTTGAATCTGTGTGTTCAATTCCAGTTTTATGACACGCAATCTCAAGAAAACTCTTTCTTTTATCCATCTAATTAAAAGTTTCAGGCATCGCTAGATAGTAAGGAAGTTTCCCCAACTTACATAATGCTTTCTCTTTTCCTCTTCTTCCCTTACATCCCAAACTGATGAAGCAGAGGATGTGGACAAAGCTCCAAGAAGTCTGCATGAGGAAGAGCAGTGGTTCTTGCTACATTCTTTCCAGTCGTGCAACAGACTGCCCAGACCTGCACTGGGGATGAGGCGAGCTCCAGACTTTCTCTGCTATGTGAGCATACTCCACAACAGAGGCAATTTCACTGCCCAGTGAGTCTCTGCAGAGAGACAAAGACAACTCCAGACACACGTGATTGCTTTGCCTTCTCTCTTCAGAACTAGTGACATCCCCTTTTCTTACTCTTCAGTTCCAAGGATGTTATTTTACCTGCTGTCCTTACTCCAGTTCCAGGAACATCTGGGTCTGAGAAGCGACCGGTCATTCGGGGCAGCTACTTTTCCAAGCCTCTGTCAGCCCAGCTACAGCAGAGTTCGAGTTGCAAGTGTGACAACTGATTGTCGAGAGAAGCTCTGGGAGCTTGCTCTGATGTAGGCTAAGGGTGGGAGGACTGGAAGAGGATTGACATAGCAATGCCTGAATAAGGCCTTGTGACAACTAGCAGTTGTCTCAGTGGTTTTACAAGTATCAGTTGTATTTACTCTAGCTGAAGTGTTGCTGTCTGCAATAGAAATTCAGGTTTCGTATGGCTGCTTCTCAATTCAACATTCATGAAACAGCCAACACCCTTGGTCAGGATCAAGGGCTCATCATGGTAGATACTAGGCAGATAAAGAAGATGACATCATCCCATCTCAAATACTTGGCAGAGATAAAAAGGGAGTAAGATGATGGCAATGTTCCTGGAAAGGGGAAAAACCAATCCACCCATGCTCCCTCTTAGCCTCTATCAACATAATGATTATGTGTAAAACACTGACTGTATGCATACATGTGCATAAAAATCAAGACAAACTCAGCACCAGGAAGTTGTTTACCTAAAGTCTGCAAGTTCCTGCCTGTCATAATCTTCTTGCCTTCTGATTAGAGCCAAGAAAAGGGTTTAGTATTTTTTCTCTTCTCTAATCTGGTACTATTTGTAAATGTGTTTTTTCCTCCCTTCTATCTTTTCAGTTGGTTTTATTTATGTAGACATGCCAGTGTCTACATAATGCAAATTTCCGACCTGCAATTTGTGGCTTCCTGGCTTGGGGATGGTTCTGAAGTAGTTCTTATGTGGCTGTTCCTCAAGCTAAATATTTACACACATATACACTGTGCATAGCTTTTACTTATGTGCATGAGCAAGGGCTCTGCATGCTTCGCATAACTTTTCAGAGTCTACATGTGTTTCTGATCATGACGACACATTGAAAATATGTGCCTACAAAACACATTTTAAATGTAGTTATACAAAACAGTATGTGCTTACCCTTGAGGTGTTTTCTATACATAGAAAAACTGAAGATCAGACTTCCTGTTCTCATCCTTTCCCTTCAAGTTCTCCTCATATTCATGGTATTCAGGTCTCCATTACTACTTAGCTATACATTATTTTTCACTGGCATGGAAGCAGTAAAACCTGAATTCTGATAATAGACATGACCATGATAAAAGCATGAGACTATTCCCTAAAGAGATATTTGGATTTCCACATTTCAGTCAGTTCAACAGCAATGATGGTGTGAAAATGAGCATCATTCTCATGCTCAGTGTCTGCTGAGAGACCACAGTTTACAAGCCTTCAGGGTAACAAAAAGGAGTATAGTTATAAAATACTGTCAATGTTCGTTGCCATCATATTGAACATATATATGCATTAAATCTCTTTTCTTAAAAAAAAAATAAGCTTAATAAATTCCATCTTGTCTACCAGAGTGGTTTTAAACAGTGATTTAGCTCCAAAGTCCTTTTTATTTGGTTGTTTTAGCTTGTGGATGAGGCCAAAGAAACCATTCTAAGTTCTCTTCCTGATGGCAAACTCGAAGGCATTTATAAGAAGTTTCACACCTGAACCTTGCAATAAGCTGCATACAGTATAAAAAGTCAGTCACCCTGTTGACCCCAAATAGGAAATAGAAAGCACCGTGGCTAGTTCCTGATTGCCTCAGACTTCTCAAAGTACTTGCTCCTATAATGTTTTACAATATAAGAGTTGAACATTACTTTCTCTACCATGACTTTCCTTTTCCTACAGCCAAGATGCAAGAAGGCAGACAGGCTGCAGCAGCCCTGGGACCTGTGCTCACAACTTGCCAGTTTTCACTTAACAGCTACTCACCTCTGGGGTGGCCTTTCCCTGCCTAGGAAATAAAAGATACATATGACCACAGCCTGAAGATGGTAGCACATTAAAGTAGATCAGATTTAACAAAATTACTCTGGGTATTCCACAGCCTTTGGACTAATCTTATAAACTTGAACAGTCCTAAAAGTCAACAGTGCTACATAAATGTATACACACACTGATAAATGCTTTGCAGGACCAGGGCCTAAATTAAGTAGATTCCTACAGACCTCACTATTGTCTGGATTTACAGAATATGACCTATTTGACTTGTGTATGTTCCTTTTGAGTCATAATTATCTCAAATAGATTTTTATTTATGTGCATGACTGGACAGTCTGTGTTTTGTATGAATACCAGCATTCATCTACAGGGTACAATAAAACATCTTTCTCCCACTGCAAAAGTTTTTCAGGGAGCTCAAACACCACAAAAAAACCCAAACAGGAAACCATGGGAGCAAACAGTTTCCAAAGGACTTGTATTCCAGGCTGTTAAACATGACTTGCTTGTTCCACTGTTAGAAGCAAGTCACTTTGTACTATTTGGATTATTTTCACAATCTGTTTGAGATAAGGAAAAAAAGAGAGGGCTGAGCAGACTAGAAAATCCAGCCAGGGCTAGTCACCACTGACAACACTTCAGCAGCCCAGCTAGCTGAGTATTTACTGTGGTGCTCTCCTATATCAGAGTCATACAGACAAAAGCCTGATGGCCCCACCAGTCAGACTGCAAGTGCCAGCTGCTCACACAATGATAGCCAAACAGGGGGAAAAAAGGTTAAATAATACATTTACAAAACATTGTTAGAAATTCCAGATGAGGGCTAACCTTTTGCATGGATTCATTTGAAATAAATCTAGAGAACTTGCAATGAGAATAGGCTGTATAAATAATACACATTTTGGTAATCACCATCTGCATGCTCACACAGAAGTTCCCATCTTGGCCAGAACCAGCAGAGGCTGATGTTCTGTTACCAACAGAAGATGCTGCAGTTTGCAGAAAAGCACCAGACCTCTTCAGCTGTACCTCTCACATGCCTGTGTGCTCTGTAAAGAGGACAGGGTGAGGAGGCTCTAGCAGGCATGCACCAAAGAATATTGGACCCAAGAGAAAAACCTCTCCCAGACAGACCTTCTGACCAGTGCCACAGACACTAACGCCCCAGGGCACCAATGCTGGGAATTCACTTGGTGCCAATCTCAGAGGAGTGAGGTTCAGCAATGGTACCACACTGTGCCTGCTTTCACCCCACATGACAACAGTGCTGTGTGAATAGACTCCGCAGACACCAAACTTTCTCTGGTGCAAAGTATCTTTCTCTCTGCTGTGAGCTGCAATCCTCCCCAGGGGTCTCCAGCAACACACAGTGCTCCTGGCACAGAAGGATAATCAGGCAGATGCTCCACCTCCTCCAGCCATGGTCTTGTCCTTATCATAGCAAAGAGGAGACATCATTGCTCCTCTACCCTTGTGAGCAGGGCCTGGAGCTGCTGTAGCTCTTTCCTGCTGTGGGAGGAGTCCACTGGAGAACCACAGACAACAGGAAGACAAGGAGATCACTCAGGATCTCTTAGAACCTGTTGGTCCCAAAACACATTCGGGACAACAGCCTCTCTCACACATTAACCATCTCTTCCTAAAGAGAATGCTGGGCCCAGGACTTGCCGATAGGATCATTGTGAAGAGTGAAGTACTGATGAGGACCTGTTTTGGATAGCGAGGAAGCAAAATTGCACACAAAGGCATTTTTGGGAGACATAGGCTTGAGCATGTCCTAAATGCACAGGTGTTCCTGACAACTGTCCCTGTGATGGTTGTGTGCATCCTATAGCCAGTCAGACATCAAAGACACAGAGACTGAAGGTAAAAATAATCAACCCATGGTCTCAAGTCATAAGCCCTTTGGGGTAAGGCTTTTGTCCCTCAAAACATCTATCATGTTTGAGTCTTGTTTAAAGCCTGGAATGGAAATTCAGACCACTGTATTAACCAAATTTTACCCAAATCTGCAATTTTCTGCAAAAAGTAAAACAGGAATTTTAAGTCAAATTCTAAGCTAATCAATTTCAGCACAATTTTAATCTAGTTTCTTCCATTCTGATAAACCCACAATTTGACACACACTCTAGTATTACAAATTTAATTCAGAACAACCCACCTTTTCTGTTCATTCTAATTGTGGTTTCTCAGGAGAATAAATGAACTTTATCAGAAAAGGAATTGAAATAAAACATTTTTTAAAGAAGGTTAAGTGGCGCCTGATAGTCTACAATCTGTCAAGTTAAGCAAACAAGGAGCAAGGGAAACCTTACCTTGTAAATAAGGCAATTACAAATCTAAGTTTCTATAGTCCAGAATGAAGCCAGGATTTAAGTGCAAAGGATTGAGAGTAAAATCTGTTGTAAATTCCTTCAAGTGAAAGTGCCTATTTAAAAGGCAGAGAATACCAGTTTTAGAAAGGTCATGAAGTCACAGCAGGTTTTTTTTTCAAAGCAGAACTCTAAATGTCAATTTGACCACTTTGTAAAGACAGAGACAGACACAGCTGCACATGGAGTGTAACCCTTATGCTAGAAAGAGAATAGCAATGATGAACAAAAGGTTCTGCATGGACCTTTGTGTAGACGGACATGAAAAAATTTAAATACCTACTCAGTAGGAATCATAATCTCAATGATTGTGAAAATGTATTGTTGAAATGCATTCTCAGTTTAAAAAAAAAAAAAAAAAAAAAAATCAAGAGAAATATACCTCTCATATAGGCATAAAGTGGCAAATTACACATAAGCTGCATGACTAAAGCTTTCACTTGAGCCTGGTTTTACTCCCTTTCTATAGGTAAGGGGACTTGCTGTGGGGACAGGGAAATAAGGCAACAGCAGACTCATGTCCCTGACTATAGCTTGTAAGTCTAAGCTGAGAAGGTTTGCAGCAAAGGTGAAACAGGGACTCTGAAAGGCAGAGCTGACAAGTCATGCCATTCCATCTCTGATAAATATTATAGATGAGTAGTTTAAATTTGAGCAGAATTCAGTAATACAAGGGTATATAGCATATACACACAGACATACACGCATGTAATTTCTTATATAAAGCTCAGGCAAATTCCACTGAAACTAGGAAACCAGACTGGAAAACCCACTTTACATTACACCTTTGCATTTACTCGTAAATTAAAAAGGCTGTGGGTGTTGTGACTAACTGGTAGACAGTAAATTGAGGCACTACGTGGTGTTTACCATGGGATAACTGCTGCTTCTCCTGATTTTTAATTGGAGGTTAATTAAACTTTGGCACATTCCACCATAAACAAGTCCTGACACCGAAAACAAAAAGACAAGGAATCATTTCATGGATGTATTCCCATAGTCCATCAAGCATTCATCACTTACATTGGCCAAAGTATTGTCAAAGGTGATAAATGCACACATATCAATAACAACAGTCTGATATTCTGCTCCATTCCTCAACACAGAGGCACCTGATCCTGCTTTCCAAGGGAAGCAACAGCACAGGGTGCAACTACATTCAAGAACATGAAGATCTGGCTCTAACTTCCTAAAGCCTTCCCAAACAAGTATAGCATAACACAGTACCTTGATCCTGGCCTCCATTTCTGTTCACCTTATACAAAATTGCACACACACACTAAAGTGACTATGAAGTAGATATAGAAGGATGCAGCAACACTTCACACACACCTCCTACATAACATGAGGCCTCGTGGCAAACACCCCAGCCACTTGCTCTGCTCCCAGTCAGGACCTTGGCAGATCACCCAAAAACAAAAAATTACTTAAGAAGGAAGAATCCTGGTAGAAAACTGATGGTGAACTAAGCTACTTTAGCACCACAGAACATGTAGGTAGACTCAGAGAGACCAACTGGCAAGGCTGCCACATTTCAGGCAGTACATATCTGAGCATCCCCAGCTTACTCGAAGCTGTACTGTGGCTCAAGCAGACATGAACACACACAAATAACTCACTGATAACTTCATGCATACTTTGAAAAACAGAGGTTAATAGTTAATTTTTTTAGCTTATCAAGCTGTTATTCTCTTGCATTGCTACTTTGCTATATTATTTTTTTATAAAATTAAAATACAACACCCTTAATCACAGGTCATTCCCACTAATAAGTTCCCTATTTAATATGTTTATATAGGCTGTTGTCCACAGTACAAGTCATGTTGAAATTGCCTTAATTAAAGTATTTCCATTTAAATGCATGACTAATCAGTACTCATCAGTAACACGGCACTTTATATCTTCAAAGCACTTTAACTGTATTTAAATGGATTATCTGAAAACTTGCTCAAGAACGTATCTTGAAATCTGATGCATAGGCTCAGCTATTGCTTCCTAAAATAACTACTGCCTTTACACGTGCACTGAATTGCAGTGAGGGCAATAGTGGCAGGTTTGAAGAAGCGTAATTGTTACTTATGGAAAGAATGAACAGTCCACAGAAGAGAAAAAGACAGCAGACCAGACACTGTTTCATGACGACACGGAAAAGCAGATGGCTCAGTCACTGAGTGGTAGAAAATGCACAGTCTATCCCACTTCCCTCCATGCCTTTCGCAGAAAAGAGCTGTCATACTCTTGTGCAAATGAAGTCCCACATCCCTAAAACTGCTTGCAAGAGACTTGCCATCATTCTTTCACTTCCTCCTCTTTGGAGCTTTCTATAGACTTGAACATCAAAATATTCAGGGCATCTGATGCTGCTTTCTGGAGACTTTGGCCACTGATGATTTGCACTGCACAAGAGATTAATTTCCCAGTATAATGCCATCACTGTGTCTCCCCACAAAGTTTACATCCCTGGGCCACCCACTGATTGAAAGACGAAGATGAAGGTGGGTACAATTTTTGCTTCACAGCTTGTTTTAACAAGGAACTTCTATAGAGAAACAAGCTACTTCCACAAGCACAGAGCTACCCTGCCTTTCTGCAAGTTATTTTTCTTTTTAGAAATTAAGGATTACATTAGAAATGGTAGTTGTATGGGGAGATGTCTTTCAACTCTATCATCTCAAAGGAAGTCATATAAAAGAGCAGATTTTGCAAGTCTGTTGTTTTGTTTTTCAAAGACTAAACTGTCTTTTAGAGCTATCAATATGCTTTCCCTTAAAGACTCGGAAGTGTAGCACCAATCTTAATACTTTCCTTTTATT